AACAATGAATTTGACCATTTTTGGGCGCGGCGTGGAAATTGGATTTCTGGCCTCTACTTGGGGTTTACCCCCCTGGCCTGGCCTTGGCAGACTACTGGAGTCATCTACTTCAGGTTTACCCCCCTTGATCTTTAATTGTGAAAAAAAATCGTAAGAAGAGAGATGGCACATGTTTGTAGTTCCTAGTTTAGGAACTAAACCCTAAAAGGCGGAGCGAACGCCAGGTGGGAGCCGCCCACAAGCGGCGCGGGTGGGAAAAAAGAAGGATGCGGAACACAACTCCGGAAACTAGTGCCACGGTGCTCGTGCCCAAGCGGCGACGAAGATACGCGACGAAATGGACCTCCGGCCGCGCCCTCGGTACAAACCCTAAACCCTAAACCCTAAAACCCTAAATTCCCACCCGGCCTGCTTAGGCCGTTCCCACCCACTTCTGGGTGGCCAGACACTGAAGATACCCGACAGCCCATCACACCAGCTCATGGTAGAACAATGGGTGGTGCCATTGAAGAGTGGTCTAATAGAGCCTCAAGGCTTAGCTTTGCCTCAGGACAGCTATCGCTGTGCCAATCCTTTACAAGGATACCTTGATCTTCCCTACGAAGGGAATACCCTAAAACTGGGGCGGGAAGCCCTCTACACGGCAACATAGCTCTCGTAGCACAGGATTGCCTTTAACAGCCCCTGGTGCCTCCCAGGCTGTCCAAATGGTCCTTTCCAGCCTCCCTGGTGCCTCCCTGGTGTCCAATTGGTCCTTTCCTGCCTCCCAGGTGCCTCCCTGGTGCCTCCCAAGCTGTCCAATTAGTCCTTTCCTGCCTCCCTGGTGCCTCCCTGGTGCTTCCCAGGCTGTCCAATTGGTCCTTTCCTGCCTCCCTGGTGCCTCGCAGGCTGTCCAATCTTGGCACCTCCCGGGCTGTCAAATGGTCTCCCATGGCGCTTGGCTGTCTCCCGGGCAAGCAAAATCAAATCTGGCCTTGGCAGATTACTGGAGTCAATTGGTCTTGCCTTGGCAGATTACTGGAGTCATCCGGTCGTGGGAATTTAGGGCGGAGCCCTAAACCCTAAAAGGTGGAAAGTTGGGTGGTAGCCTGCCACTTCTGGCGGCGGGTGGGATTGTAATCAACCACCACATGTCTTGTGGGGTGGAAAACGACCGACAACGATAAACCGGCAACCGCTAAGATGCCACCACCCCCTCTATTTTTAAAGAAAAGGGGGCGGTGCCATCTTCGCATATGATCATCTGCTGCCACGCGGCCGAGACGCCCTAAACCCGCCCGCCACCCCTACATCACCTAATGGGGTGAGCGGGCGCTGCCCGAGCGTGTCAGCGAGGCGCTGCAAGTTTTGTTGGGCTGCAAAACTTGCGAGCCAGTCCTGAACTGGAGCCTCCCCAGCAGGTTGAGCCAGACCTGCATCTGTCACGATGCTTTGATCATTGATACATTGTATTACCCTAAACCCCACGACTGGAGAGACGCCCTATGCAAAGGTTTAGGGGGGCCTAAACCCTTAAGCTGCCTCCCGGACAGACGCCCTATGCAAAGGTTTAGGGGGCCTAAACCCTTCAATTGCCTCTCAAATGGCTCTCTGGAGCCTCCCGGGCTGTCCAAATAGCCTTCTGCTGCCTCCTGGGCTATCCAAATAGCCTTCTGCTGCCTCCTGGGCTGTCCAAGTCGGTCTCTGGAGTTTCCCGGGCAATCCAAATGGCTCTCTGCAGCCTCCCGGGCCGCCCAAATAGCTCTCGTACTCCATCTGGAGCCGACGGTTTAGGGGGCCAAAACCCTGGAGCAAGCAATGAAAGCAACAAGGTTTAGGGGGGGTAAGCCTCATAAGCCACCGTCCACGTAGCGAGGTTTACCCCCCTCACCGGCGGTAACGCTGCGGCGCGCCGCTCTCAGTCTAAGGTGCCAACGGTTTAGGGAGCCAAAACCCTAGAGCAAGCAATGAAACCAACGAGGTTTAGGGGGGGTAAACCCTGTAAGCAACAGTCCCGGTAGCGAGGTTTACCCCCCTAGCCGGTGGTAACGCTGTAGCGCGCCCACCGGTGGTAACGCTACAGCGTTTGAAGCGTTACCCGGCGTTACCGCCCAAAACCTGCCCGGAGGCGACCTTTTGGGAATTTTCGCTTCGGGAAAAAGTTGCTCTCGAAGCGAAAATATAGCCCTTACACCATCGGGCTGAAAGATGCGATTTCGAATTTTCACGGACGCCTCCCTACTTCGACGTTACGGGGTTTAGGCCCCCTAAACCGGTCGATTTCGACAACTAAAATTGTAGCTTTCTATTATTATTGAGGGCGGACGTGAGTGCAACACCGGACTGGCAACCCGGTGCAGCTTCGGCTGGCATGGGCACGGACCTCGAAAACTTAAACCTAATAGGGCGAGACGCCACTGTACATAGTAAAGTGACTTGGGCTGCGTTTAGGCCACTTGTGACTGGGCAGACTTGGGCAACATTTTCCTCTTTGCCCCCGGGCAGTTTCAAGGAGAAAGGCGCAGGCAAAGGCATGAGCGGGAAACGCTGTGACTTGCAGACGCCTGTGTGAAGCAATCTGTTCTACCGGAGCTAGATCTAAAGGAGAACCGAGATGCAGACAAGTGACAAGCCCCAGGCCGTTTAAGAGTGACACGAAATTACCGTCGCGCCGGTGGGACCCTCAGTATAGCCGCCTCGCAGGCCGTTTAAGAGTGACGCAGGATTACCGCAGGGAAGCCCGGCGCATTGAGATGGATGCGTATGAACACTTCGTGAGCCGCTTAAGAGTGACGCCCTATTACCTTAGCGCTGCCCGGGCTTTGTAAAGGCATACCTCCCCAGCCGTTTAAGAGTTACGCCCGGTTACCTTCTATAGTAATAAGCACTGTTTTCTGTTGATGGCTTCTGTCCACGGGCTTGTTGCCTCTAAGGTACAGGGCTCTGTTAGCAGTTGCCGGTGGCATTGTGAATCCAAGGCGTGCAACGCGGAAAATCGATCTTTACACGGCCGGCTGACCAGCTAGTGCCAAGGATTTGTGTTTTATATCAAATTTCGACCATGTTGCTTTGAGAAGTTGACTGTTGTGGAGACGCCTTTGCTGATGTTGCTCTAGCTTGCCAGATCCTGTCTCGCAGTTGCGCATCCCTCTAGCTGTTCGTATTGAAATTTCAAAGAATGAGCTCGCCTGCGGGTCAAGGGTTTTCTCGAAGTTTGTTGGCTCACAGCTTTACCTTGTCGTGCTTCATCTTGCCTCTTCGGCCCTATCCCGCGCTAGCTGCTGTCATGTCGTCCTGGGGCAAAGGTGCTTGGAGCGCTCGCAAGGGCAAAGGCAGCGGCGGGAAAGCGAAGGGCAAGGCCTTCGGCGAAAAGAAAGACTATGTGAAAAAGGTTTCTTGGGAAAATCGGCTTTCCAAGTGGTACCTTCGCCCTTACGTGGATCAAGCTGGCAGCCCGTTCTCTGCCAATGGCGTCCAAGAATCCGAGCTGCTCTCCTCATACCACCTACGCAACATTCTGAGCGAGGACTCCTCGGAGTATTGCGCGCGGCAGGGCATTGCGCTCTCGGAAGGCGCTGCGAACTTCGAGGTTGGCGCTGGAGCGTTGCAGCACCACTTCGGCGAGGACGCCGGCGCCGGTTTGAAGAAAGTTGGCATTCAGCCATTACTCGAGCAGTTCCAGACTGCAAATGGCAAGAAATTCTTGGAAGCACGCGCGTACTTGAACACTGCCAACACTGAAGTGGAACGCAACGAGGGAGCTACGGCCGCGGCCGTGAAACGCTTTGTTCGCTTCTTGACCCACGAGCCCGCAGAAAAAGAAGCGGCTTTCCGGAAGTTGCTGCGCCTCACGGCGCGGTTATATATCTTTGCTTTTGAAGGCCTTGAAGCGATCACCGCCCTGTCCAACCCAAAGGTCATGGCAGCTGGCGTGCATGCAGTTGGGCAGCAAGCGGCTTTACCGGAAGATTGCAAGGCGTGGTGCGCGCGCCCGAGGATCAGGAAGCCTTGGTATGGTCTTTGGTGGCTGCCTTCAACACCAAAAACTCGAAGCTGGCGTGAAAAAGCGTGCTGCTGCAACCTACGATTGGGACGAAGAGCCCACGGCGGCCGCAGCGTGGGGCAAGGGCGGTGCCGAGCTCTATGGGGACGATGCAGAAGACGACGCTTGGGAAGCGCAGCGGGCAAAAAAGACTTCCAAGGGAAAAGGCGGCAAGCTGACGAGCAAGCAGCCGGCAAAGAAGGCAGGGCCCTTGGCATCGGATGCGGAGGACGACTCAAAGGACATCGATCTAGCGTCCTCCCAAGAAGACGCGAAGGCGTCGGCGAGCTTGGACGTGACCGGCTGGCCTTTGGAGAAAGTCGACGCGCTCAAAGAATTCCTAGCTGAGCTCGAGGGCAAAGTCGACAGCAGCAAAGACCGCCCGAGCATCCAACAATTGCAAGCTGTTCTGCAAGAAGTCCCGGAAACCATTTTGAACCACCAAGGCCTGCAGAAAACGGTGACCGATTTCATGCAAAAGACCCGCTACCCGAGAACCGAAAACCTCAAAGCTTTGCTGAAAGCCTTGAAGGACATGGTTGCCATCGCGGAAGCCGAATGGAAGAAGTGAGCCGCGGCCGCAATGCAGACGTAGCGGCCTGGGCTGCAAACCCTGCACAGGCGCAGTCCAGGTGGGCGGTTGGGCCTCGACCTTTTCACAGCGGCGGCCCTCGGAAGAAAAGAGCTGGTTTAGCCGACGTGCCACGGACAACTTACTAAAGTTGGATTTCTTTGGTCGATCGTCGATCGTGCTTTCGCACTCGCTCCACATGTCACATATCCGTTCACTGCGAATTGCTCATTTAACCGAGGCTTGTCTGTAATGCGAAAACACTCAGAACTACATCCTTGCGGCAGTTTCCGTCTCGTTACCGGCTCATTATGTGTCATGTGCGCGTGGCCCTTTGCAGCACTCAATTCAATTCGCAATCGCCTGCCTCGCGTCGCCCGTCTCCCCCTCTGTTGTGTTGCTGTGGCCATGGAACCACCCAAGCGCCGTCGCATTTGGGCGAAGCGGCCGCCGCTGCCACACGAAGAGCTCCAAGCGCCTGCCGCGCAGCCAGCTCTTGCTGCGGAGGCCGCGCCCGCCGGCCATCGGCGGAGACAGGTGTTTTGCCCGGGCAGGGGCCCGGAACAGCCATGTTGCTTTGCTGCTGATGGCAGCGGTCGCGCCGCCAAAGGAACCCGGGACGGGTGCTGCAGCTTTTGTCATCGGGACAACATGGACACTGCCTTGGGCACTGCGCGTGGCCGGAAGATCGTGGCCCGCCTCTTGAGGCAATGGCGCTTGATGGCGCCCAACATCTTTGAGGCGGCTTTCAACCAGAGCGTTTTGGCGGAGATCGATGGCGCAACAAGGGAAAGCTTGCGCGCCCAAGTGTCTGAGCCCATGTGGGAGGAGTTGCTTGCAAAGCGGTGCTCCATTGTCGCCGGCCCTTCGCCTCAAGAACTCCGTGAATACCAAGACGGAGTGGAGCAGGATAGAGCTTATGTGCAGAAGAAGTTCTTTCCAAGCAGGACACGGACGGTCCGACACGCCAACCACCAATGGCGAGCACCAATGAACGAGGAGCTTCGTGGACAGGTGCGGGATCTCGCACACAACGATGCTGGCTTGCCTGCTGCCTACGTCAGCTCTGCAGCTGCTGCGTTGGAGACTTGGTGCAAGCGTGGGTCTTGGGACTTGTGTCGCCAATGTGCTTCCGTGCAACCACGTCATCTGAAGGAAGCAGCTTCACGAGACGCAGCCAAGGGAAACATCATCCTTTGCAAGAACTGTGCCAAAAAGGAGGACAAGAAAACATGGATACCCTCACCAGAAGATGTGCCGGCTGTGCTTCGTGGCTTATCCTGGGCCCAAATTGAGGCGCTGCGGCCCTTGGACGTGGACAGCGGGCCGGAATGGAAGGCTGAGTTTGGCTACTACTTCCACAGCAGCATGATCCGCTTCTCGTGGGCCCTGGACGACGTGGAGGACAAGATCGATGCTTTGCGGAGTCGGCAAGAGCGGAAGAGAGCAAAGAAGGTGCGGGCGACATCTTTACTAGGTCCTAGATCGGTTTATGGTTCGTTGTCGGATCGGTGGTCGCGACCGACTCGCTTTGATGTGTTCGGCCTCGACTGGCGCAGGCTTTCAATTTTCTCGTGGACAAGGACAACTGCAACTACTGGAAATGGATCGAGCGGCACCGGCGCTTCATGAACGACAATCCCCGGGCCACGGATGAGCGCCGTAAGAGGCCACTTCGCTACATCGAGGAAGAGGGCATCGAGACCGCTGTGTGGCCACATCTCTACTGGGATACCCGGCTCTGTGAGACGGCCACTCGCCTAGCGGACGTTCGTCGCAAGCAGCGGGCTGGCCATCAACAAGATCCAGAAGACGATCCCATGGGTGACGCGACGGGGGGGCAAGAAGACAGCAGCGGCCGCCAAAGTCTCAAGCGGAGCTTCCTCCTCAAAGCCTTCGGGCCCACAGCGGACTACGCTGGTGACTACAACCTCTTGCACTTCGTCTTCGACCTGTCCACTTGGTCGGACATCGGCGGAAAGAAGGGCGCTCTGCGAGGCATGCCGATGTGGCAAGCCATGAAAGGCGCTGCCTGGACTCCTCAATACTGGCAGGTTCGCCACGCGGCCGCCTTGGACATGCAAGCTCAGTGCGGTTACCCGGTCGCTTTCATCACTTGGGCTCCCTTCGAGTGGTCCGCTCCCTACCACGAAGCACTTCTGCAGCAGATGCGAGATTTAGGCCGGCAACGTCTGGGGTTGGCCGGGCCTGAATCTTTGCATTTGGCACATCTCTTGACTGAGCTCTTCAGGGAATGGGTCTGTGGTGGCGGCCGCAAGTTCGGCGATGCCACGTCGCAGTGGAAGGCAGCTCTGTTTGGTGGCACGAAGCCGGATGGCAGTCGGGTTAAGGTCAACTTCGTGGGCCGCTTGAATTCCAAGACGGCAAGCGGAAAGAGTCGACCCAAGACTACCATGGTCGAGGCGCCGTGCATCTCCATGGGCTGGTCTTTGCCGAGAGCATCAAGCACATGAAGTTGCACGAGAAGTTCTCCGCGACTGTGCCTGCGGAAGGCGACCCGCTGAGAGGCTTGGTGCTCGATGGCCAAACGAGCAGGACGGGCAGCGGCTGGCCGGTCTTTGAAGGACCTTCTCACTATGACGCGGCCGTGGACAAGGTGAAGCTTCACCACTCCATGGAGGACAAGCGGCTCGGCGTGCGAGGCTACAGCCCAGAAGTCCTGGACGTCTTGAAATGCCATCAGGATGCGCAGATCGAGCGCGGCACCGGCCTCATGCTCAAGTACGCCGCCACCTACTTGCCCAAGTTCAGTGACGGTCCTGGCAAGGAGCTCATGGATGACAGTAGCAGCGGCTATGGAGCTGCCAGGCGTGCCCTTTTCACTTTTCATCCCGGAGAGCCTGAGATGTGGCTGCTGCTGGCCAATCAAAGCTCCCCCATGTTCGTGATGGGTGGGACTATGCAGCCGATCATCGCGCCGCACCCAGGCATGGAGCAGCCCCCGGCTTACGTGGCGCTCTACGAGCAGGCCGCCTGGCGCGGCGAGATGACTCTCCTGGAGTACTTGCGCAGGGTCAACAACAAGGGCAACATCTTGGAGCACATCCGGAAGGCCCACATGAAGGACACCAGAGGCCTCAGTTTAGAGAGCTTCGCGGTCCGTTACGAGACCTTTGGCGAGAAAATCATAGCTGCGGAGATGGTGTCCATGCTCAACGATAAGCCGCTCGGTTCGAAACCGTTATTTGACGGCGACGGGTTGTTCAAAGGCGTCGCCGTCTTACGGTCGCCTCGCGCTCGACCGCTGTTGAGGTACTATGGCCAGTGGATGGCATTGAACGTACCCTTCCAGACGCTGAGTGGCTTGCTTGTGCCAGACATCGTGGACAAGGTGCCTGAACACGTGAAATTTTTGGCTTGCGCTCTGCATTGGGCACCGCACGTGTGGCGGAACGAGCAGGCCATCCGGGAGCACATGGCTTTGAGGGCGCACAAAGAATCCCTGGTCAACACAGTGGTTCAAATGATCAAGACCCAGGAATTCTTCATTCACCTGCATTTGAACGGGCACCTGGAACGAGAGACGCGCGTGCGGCCGGCTGCGCGGGTGATGCCTTCTTACTTTGAAGATGCGGAGAGCGGCTTGCGACTCACCCCGGAGCAGAAGCGGGTGGCCGACAACATCGACCAGCGCGTCGATCAAGCCCTGGCCATTCGAGACGCTGCCGACGAGCAGGAAATGGAGCGATTGCTTGGCCTCGCAGAAGAGCACGGTTCCATGGTCGCCGTGTCTGGCCAACCCGGCACCGGCAAGACTGCCGTCGTGGACCTCTGCGTCAAGCGGGCCCAACGCCTGCAAGCCCGGATCTTGCTGGCCATGCCCACGGGAGTTCAAAGGTCTCGAATGAAGCAACGCCACCCTGAAGTGGACCTCGACACTTGCCACGGGGCCTTTCTCTTCCACAAGCCGCTGGTAGAGGCCATGGGTATCATGATGTGCTATGATCTGATCGTCGTCGACGAGGCCGTCCAACTTTTTGAAGAGCATTTTGAACGGCTGGATCAAATGTGGCGGGCGGCGGGCAAGGTTCCGTGCCTGGTCTTCGTGGGCGATGAGTGGCAGTTGCCGCCGCCGGACAACACCAAGCGCAGCCTTGTCCACCACCCCAAATGGCGCCTGGTCTACAAGATTGAGCTCCACAAGGTCTGGCGCCAAGCCGACGGAGACCCCTTGCTGGAGAAGCTGGCCTACCTGCGCAAGAACCGGCCCATGGGCGGGGAAGGCAGCGCCTTTGTGCGAGATATGTGCAGCGGTCGCAGAGCCTGGTCTGGGCGCCACGAGCCCACGAACCTGGACATCCAAGACTTGCTGCGCAAAACCGATGGGGCTACCACTGTCATCACGTGCACTCGATGGGGCGCTGCTCTGGTTAACGCTTTGGCCGTGGAGGTGCTCTTCGAGCTACCCGGCCGCATCAAATTGGGCGGCGTAGGCGCTGACTACGAGAGCAACCCCGACAACTACCATTGGAACGGGGTGGCCTACGAGATGAGGCAGGATCAAAGCCCGGAGCCCTTGAAATTAGACCTCTACGAAGGTCTGCGGATCCGCCTGACCCGGAACATGAACAAGAGGCTGGACTATGTGAACGGCATGACGGCCACGGTCCAAGCCTTCGACCGGTCTTCCGGGGGCGTCATTGTGGAGACCGAGACCAAGCAGGTGCTCTGCGTGTACCCCGTGACGGAAGATGCCGCCGGCGGCCGGGTGGTCTACTACCCGATGAAGCCCGGGTACGCAGACACCGTGCACAAGTTCCAGGGGGCGGAGCTGGCCCACGTGACGTTTTGGCCTGACAGGGAAGGGTGCGCAGCTGCTGCCTATGTGGCTTTATCCAGAGTTAAGAAGGACACCGACTACCTCTTGGGGGGCTACATCAAGCCGGAGCACTTCGTTCCTGCCAGGTGAGCGGTCTAAGCGGTAGCCCGGTCGCATTTGTACAGTAGGCGCATCGTGGACGGCTCTAGGCCAAGAAGGATGTCCTTGAAAACAGTGGACGCCCTTGGCCGAAGGCCACGGACAGAACATAGGGTCGTGCTTGGCGACGAAAAAAACATAGCATCCTGCGTTCAGACGGCGAATCGGCGAGTTATGTGTCTTTGTTGAAACATTGTTCCGCAAAGCCGGCGGACCTTATAAATTCTGATGGGCAGATGGCCAGCAAAGACACTCCCACCATCGTCCCGGATCGGCAGCTTGGGTTCAAATTAGAATTCATAACATCACTAACTTCCTATAATAACTTGAAGCTCGGCCGCAACCCCTTGCTCAGTCGCCGGCGTTGCGGCCTCGCCTCTTTTTTTTTTGCGCTTGTCGGCTTTGCCTGCATATGCTCCTTTGTTTGCCTTCCGTCTCTTGGCCCGGGACTTGGGAAAGCAGCGATGCGATCGATGGACACGCGCGAGGGGAAAAAAGAAAGGCCAAGAGCCTGCCCGGCGACTGAGGGCAACCCTAAACCCTAAAAGAGTTGTGTTTGGGTGGCCTTGGGGTGGGCTTGTCCGCAACGTGATGGCGTGCGCAGTGGGGAGGGGCGGCGTTAAAACATGATCGATAGCCGCCCCGATAAAGGCGCACGCCATGAGCCGTGAACACCCTAAACCCTAAACCCGCCCGCCACCCCTACATCACCTAATGGGGTGAGCGGGCGCTGCCCGAGCATGTCAGCGAGGCGCTGCAAGTTTTGTTAGGCTGCAAAACTTGCTAGCCAGTTCTGAACTGGAGTCTCCCCAGCAGGCTGAGCCAGGCCTGCATCTGTCACGATGCTTTGATCATTGATACATTCTATTACCCTAAACCCCATTCTTGGAAAGACGCCCTCAGCAAAAGCTTTTGGTGCCTCCCGGGAGGGCCCAACTGGCCTCCTGAAGCCTCCCAGGCTGCCCACTGAAGGCTTTCGATCAATTGGACAGTTTGCGAGGCACCAGGGAGGCACCAGGGAGGCAGGAAAGGATTAATTCGACAGCCTGGGAGGCACCAGGGAGGCAGGAAAGAACCATTTGGACAGCTTGCGAAGCACCAGGGAGGCAGGAAAGGATCTATTGGACAGTCTGCGAGGCACCAGGGAGGCACCAGGGAGGCAGGAAAGAGCCCTTTGGACAGCCTGGGAGGCACCAGGGAGGCAGGAAAGAGCCATTTCGAGCTTGCGAGGCACCAGGGTGGCAGGAAAGGACCAATTGGACCGTCTGCGAGGCACCAGGGAGGCACCAGGGAGGCACGAAAGAGCCATTTGGACAGCCTGGGAGGCACCAGGGAGGCAGGAAAGGATCAATTGGACAGCCTACGAGGCACCAGGGAGGCAGGAAAGGATCAATTGGACAGCCTGCGAGGCACCAGGAGGCACCAGGGAGGCAGGAAAGAGCCATTTGGACAGCCTGGGAGGCGCCAGGGAGGCACAAGGGAGGCTTGTAGCACAGGATTGCCGATCGAATCGGGGCGCCGGATTTTGTCTAACTTTTAATACAACTTCAATGGCGAACGGCCTGTTCGCGGCAAATCCTGGGGTGGGCTCCACGCCCGGCTGCCCAGCACAGACTGGCCTTTGAAATGCCGCTCGGAGCACAGGGTTCCCTTTGACAGGGAGGCAGGAAAGGACCATTTGGACGCCTGAGAGGCACCAGGGAGGCAGGAAAGGACTCATTGGACAGCTTGCGAGGCACCAGGGAGGCAGGAAAGCAGAGCCTTGGGCACTGCCCATTTCACAATAAACTTTGCTAAGCGAGGGCCAAAACCCGCGGCCACATGAAATTTTCAACCCGGCAAGCACCTCACCAAAGGTCACGGGGGACAAAAAGGGCTGCACCAGATTTTGCGCAGAATGTGTCCATTTCACAATAAACTTTGCTAAGCGAGGGCCAAAACCCGCGGCCACACGCTCGCGATGCCATCGAACCGTTCTGCGATTTTCGATCGCAAAATTGCCTAAGCGGCTCGGTCGCCGCCATCTTACCGTTCCATAAATTTTTGTGGCCGCCGATCGGTCGGGCGGCCATGCCCCATTCGCAAAACCTAAATGGCCGGATCCATGCACATTCCTTTCCACGCCTCCTTTCTTTCTTCGGCTCGGCCGCAACCCCTTGCTCAGTCGCCGGCGTTGCGGCCTCGCTATTTTTTTTTTTGCACTTGTCGGCTTTGCCTGTATATGTCTCTTGGTTTGCCTTCCACGTCTTGGCACGGGGCTCGGGAAGGCAGCGACGCAATCGATGGGCGCGCGCGAGGGGAGAAAGAAAGGCCAAGAGCCTGCCCGGCGACTGAGGGCAACCCTAAACCCTAAAAGAGTTGTGTTTGGGCGGCCTTGGGGTGGGCTTGTCCGCAACGTGATGGCGTGCGCAATGGTGAGGGGCGGCGTTAAAAAATATTCGATAGCCGCCCCGATAAAGGCGCACGCCATGAGCCGTGAACACCCTAAACCCTAAACCCTAAACTAGGGGGGCCTGCCTCGGGCGGCGGCTCGCTAGAGCCGCTCGCCCCAGCAGAGCCCCACGCTGACCGCCCTTGTGTACATCTCACATGAGAAGTACTTGTCACGTGACAAGTACTATCCCACTGTATTGTATGCGTCTGCCACGACCTTCAGCACTTCGAGCCAGTACTGGCTAAATGACTCAGGCAGTACTGCCTATATAGTAATATAGAAACCCTAAACCCTGCAGTGATCAGGTCACGGAGAGGAATGAGAAAACACATTTTCCCAAAATATTTTTTATAATTAAATTTTTGGATGGTTTTAGGCTTTTACTGTTAAGGCAAGAAAGGATCAATTGGACAGCCTGCGAGGCACAGAGAGGCAGGGAAGAACAATTTAAGACAGCTTGCGAGGCACCAGGGAGGCAGGAAAGGATCAATTGGACAGTTTCAGAGGGCACCAGGGAGGCAGGAAAGGATCAATTGGACAGCCAGGGAGGCAGGAAAGAACAATTTGGACGGCCTGGGAGGCACCAGGGAGGCAGGAAAGGATCAATTGGACAGCCTGCGAGGCACCAGGGAGGCACCAGGGAGGCAGGAAAGAAGAGGCACCAGGGAGGCACCTGGGAGACTTGTAGCACAGGATTGCCGATCGAATCCCGGTTTTGAAAGGGCGCCAGATTTTGCCTAACTTTTAATACAATTTCAATGGCGATCGGCCCGGTTCGCGGTAAATCCTGGGGTGGGCTCCACGGCCGGCTGCCCGTAGCACAGACTGGCTTTTGAAATGCTGCTCAGGGAGGCACCAGGGAGGCAGGAAAGGACCATTTGGACAGCCTGAGAGACACCAGGGAGGCAGGAAAAGACCATTTGGGCAGCCTGAGAGGCACCAGGGAGGCAGGAAAGGACTCAGTGGACGGCGCCAGGGAGGCAGGAAAGGATCAATTGGAGACAGCCTGAGAGGCACCAGGGAGGCAGGAAAGGACCATTTGGACAGCTTTGAAGGCACCACGAAGGCAGGAAAGGACTCCTGCGAGGCACAGGGAGGCAGGAAAGGATCAATTGGACAGCCTGCGAGGCACAGGGAGGCAGGGAAGAACCATTTAGACAGCTTGCGAGGCACCAGGGAGGCACCAGGGAGGCTTAATAATGAAATCGACCAAAAAATTGAGGCTGTCAAATTCCAGTTTTCCAGGCTCGTGTTGAAGAGCTAGGTGGTTTTAGGCTTTTGCTGTTGAGGTTTTAGGCTTTTAGGCTGGAAGCTTCGAGGTTTTAGGCTTTAACTGTTGAGGTTTTAGGGTTTTAGGCTTGAAGCTTCGAGGTTTTAGGCTTTTGCTCTTAAGGTTTTAGGGTTTAAGGCTGGGAGCTGCATGGTTTTACCCTCTTTAGCTTACAGGTTTTAGGCCTCAAAGGGGCATGGGCCACGATTTGGCCGCAAAGCCTAAAACCAGCAATACGTTTAATAATGAAATCGACCAAAAATTGAGGCTGTCAAATTCTAGTTTTCCAGGCTCGTGTTGAAGAGCTAGGTGGTTTTAGGCTTTTGCTGTTGAGGTTTTCGGGTTTTAGGCTGGAAGCTTCGAGGTTTTAGGCTTTAACTGTTGAGGTTTTAGGATTTTAGGCTGGAAGCTTCGAGGTTTTAGGCTTTTGCTGTTGAGGTTTTTAGGGTTTTAGGCTGGAAGCTTCGAGGTTTAAGGCTTTTGCTGTTAAGGTTTTAGGGTTTTGGGCTGGAAGCTTCGAGGTTTTAGGCTTTTGCTGTTGAGGTTTTAGGGTTTAAGGCTGGGAGCTGCATGGTTTTACCCTCTTTAGCTTACAGGTTTGAGGCCTCAAAGGGACATGGGCCACGATTTGGCCGCTAAGCCTAAAACCAGCAATACGTTTAAACATGAAATCGACCAAAAAATTGAGGCTGTCAAATTCTAGTTTTCCAGGCTCGTGTTGAAGAGCTAGGTGGTTTTAGGCTTTTGCTGTCGAGGTTTTCGGGTTTTAGGCTGGAAGCTTCGAGGTTTTAGGCTTTAACTGTTGAGGTTTTAGGGTTTTAGGCTGGAAGCTTCGAGGTTTTAGGCTTTTGCTGTTGAGGTTTTACGGTTTTAGGCTGGAAGCTTCCAGGTTTTAGGCTTTTGCTGTTAAGGTTTTAGGGTTTTAGGCTGGAAGCTTCGAGGTTTTAGGCTTTTGCTGTTGAGGTTTTAGGGTTTTAGGCTGGAAGCTTCGAG